TTGCGTTTAATTTAATTGCACACATTCGTAACTGTCTGCTTATTGTGACATAATCTATTTTTAACTATGACTAACTTTCTTTATGTTGGATTGTTAAACATTATTGGCAAATGTTTATTTTTGTAAACTTGTAACTGTTGAATTTCTCACATTTACACGCAGAGGGGCAGGCGAGAGCTGGTGCTCTGGGGGAGCCAGCTCCCACCTGCTCCCTCTGTCCTCCTGCTGCTGCTGCCTCTGTTACAGAAGCAGCAGCAAAGGGGTGTGCGCTCTGTGGGAGTCGGTACACTCAGAGAGCCAGCTTGAAAGCCAGCTTCCCATATATACTGGCTCCTACCTGCCCCCCTCACACTCTGTGCTGCTGCCTTTCTATCAGAGGCAGTAGTGTGGGATGAGGAAAGGGGCGCAGGTGGCTTCTCAGGAGCTGGGACATGGGGGCAGCAAGCTTAAAAATTGGCTATCCTGAGTGCCAGCTCCCACCTTTGCTACTTGATATACAAGTAGTAAAGGGTGTGCATGTAGTCGTTAGGATTAACCGATGAGCCTGGACTTATCGATTAATCACGTAAATAACTACATGCTAACATCCCTACTGTGTATGTTCACTTTTCCTCAGCAAGGACAATGAAAGTAGTCTTTGTTGGGTTCTGTTTTTTGGATAACATGTAGCCAATTTCAATTTTAGTTCCTCATTTACTAGCCAAATAGTACAGTGCTTGGATTGCAAGCAAGGGAGAGGAATCTTTGTGTCTTTTTTTTCCTTGGTACTATTCAACTTCTTGCAGACACTTCTCTTAATCATAAGTTTTGGAGGTTTGGTCTTAGAATAAAATTTACATTTCTTGAAGTTTTAGTTTGACCTGACACTCAAACTTTTGTTTAAATCCCAACAAGAAAGACTGTTGGCCTCTCCTCTTTCTTCCCCCAGCTATGACCTAGAAATCTGTTTCTGAAGTTCATATACTGTTTATTTGTAGGCTGCAATTCTGCTGCTGGTTCCATGTAGGCATATGGGTATGCTTATATCGAGCCAGCGTGGGCCATGCTCTTCTAGTATGGTAAATCAGTTGTGAAAGTGATTAAATGCTTTCATTTTAAAATATAACTTGTCAGTTTCTTAGATACCTCTGTAATGATTCTGGTTAAAACCTAGACAAGGCGTTCTAAGTGGTCACATTTTTACCTGCCATATTTAGCTAAGAAGTTAATGATTCTATCTAAATTCTGTCCCTGGTCTCATGACATTTCAACTACGTTCACCCATTACTGCTGCCAATTTACTTAGTACATTTGTAATAGTGCTAAAAATTTAATTAGCTTCTCTTTTTTTTTAATCTACTATCCCCCTCCTGCCCCTGGGCAAATCTTTCTTTTGAAAGAAACTAGTTATGGCAGTTCTAGATATAATCTCGTAGCTCATTGCTTTTGTACAGATTCTATGCAATGAGGTCTGGGCATGTTAATGGGTGTGCTGGGTTGTTCACAAGGCTGTGCTTTCCCAGAGAACTGTGGGAGTTTCCCCATTTTAGAACTATCTCCATTTAACACTAATTAAAGGGGCAAGATAAAATGTTACAATTGTTTCATTATCAGAACAGAACTTAATGATCCTGGCATTGTCTTTTAATTCTGATAATTTTGTGGATTATAAAATGTTATTTATATAACAGACATTAACTTATTCACAAAAAGTAGTGTTGGTAGTTAACTTGCATGGTTACGGGGATAGACTTGGTTTTACAGTATTTGTTCTGGATCTAAAAACTTAGCCATTAGTTGTATTGACTTTTTAAATTCAGTTTTCCAAGATACAAGCAGTGATCAAAATGACTGCAATACATTGATTTTATTCAGTACTGCAGCCAAAAAGCCAATTTCCATGCTAAAACTCACCTATGCAAATACATGTTATTTCAGATATAGGATAATTTCCTCCACTGTATTGGTGGTTCAGAATGAAAGTATATGTTTTGATTTTTTACAGGCAAGAAGGGGTTGAAGATGGTTTTTATGTTCCAATAGAAGTTTCCGTTCGCACGCAAGAGGGAAAAGTGTTGACCTGTCGAAGCTATCAGATGACTGATTACATCTGTGATCTCCCATCACCACAGTATAAAAAAGTAGGCATCTAAAAAGAGCATGAACTGAAGCGGATATTATATTACTACTTCCCATTTAAAATACTCTCTTACAATAGCATTTGCTACATAGTATAGTTCCTTCAAATAGAATTTCAATTCTTTCCAAATGTATTAAGCCAATATGTCGCTATTGTTATTCTGACTTCAGTGAAACTAAACAAAACGTAAATCTGACCTATTGAACGTAAAGCAATTGCTCCCATCCACAAATTGCTTCATCCTGAACTCATGTGCAACTACCTATGGGGTGGCATCAGCTGCCCACAAGCACCCAGCCACTTTACAAAATACAGTAAACTTCCGATAATCCGGCACCTTTAGGACCCAGGGGGTGCCGGATTATCAGATATACCGGACTATCGGAAGGGGGGGGCTATGAGGGGTCTGGGACAGA